TTGCTTTAACAATGTAACAGATAGCTTTAAGATGGCCTTAAGATGTTTATGCATACTGTTATCATATTAACCTTGTATTCCAGATGCAGTTATAGCTATTTTATACACATTGCATATCTGTGCTTATTTTGAGTTGATGTTCGGTTCATTAAGGGTCTTAAGCTTCACTGGCGTGACTGTCCAGGTGGTACATGCTGAGGGAAACTAGAACATAGAAGGAATTGCAATACATGCTTACAAAACACTTATATCAGGTCATTTCTATTATCTTTTATATGTTCATATTCTTGTATTGAGTTTTAAGTAGTATCAGTTGGTTAAAACATTTATTCAGTTTATATTATATCTTTAGTTTTAGTAAACTGTGACACATTTGACAGTGGCCTCTGTTTGACTGTGAGCGTTAGTAGGTGAGAGGTGACACAGAGTGCCAAGTGAGATCGTGACATATCATGTTTGCTTGTAACTGTGGGCTTGCAGAAGCGCTAGCTCACTGCAAAACATTGTCTGCGGTTTTGGAGAAGCGCTAGTCAAAAAGGTTGACAGGAAACATCTGCCATGAAGACAGAGATAATGTTCTTTTCTGTGTTAAAAGTCATTGTGGTTTTGATTTGACCTATGTATGAAATGTATCTGACGTTGAAGGGGCATCATTAAATTCAAGCCCTGATGGTATAAAATATCTGCCTATGCTTTGATTAGTCGAAGATCAATTGCTGTCTGCGTACGGAGTGACCTTCCCACGTGTGTATTAAAATCATCGTTTGACTTCACCCGGCCGGATCAGTGTGGTTATTCTTCGATTACCTCTTGTACCCTTCCTCAATATTGAACCCTTAACACTGCTTCTTTAACCATAATCATGACAATGTAACCACATGGTGTACTGACAGGTTACTTAATGTGTATAAAACATATAAAAAAAAAATGCACACAAAAGCTAATACAATTCTATTTACATTTTTACTGCACTTAAGTACAATTTTCAGGTATCTCTTCTTTACTTTAGTATTTATTTTTCTGACTAAATTTTTACTTTTACTCCCTAACTTTTTAAACAATTATCTGTAGTTTCTAATTTTTACATTTTCAAAACAGGCTACTTTTGCCTTAATGCATTTGTGCCGAGTTATTATTGCATCACTGTGTGCCTCCAAACATCAAACTTATTTGATCCTAAAAAGTAACACATGAGAGGCAGGACAGGATAGGAAGAAGAGAGGTTAGATTTAAGGGTAAGGACTCCTCAGTGGGATTTGGGTTAGACCAGGGTGTCAAACTCAAATACACAGTGGGCCAAAATTCAAAACTGAAAGTAGCGGGCTAACGTTAATATTTATTGAAATATATTTATTCCTCCAGATATAAGAATGAATCTTTTCTTATGTACTCAAACACGTTTTGCTGAAAAACTAAATATGGAACAAGCAAAGCTTAATACTAAACAATATATATATTAGCTGTATAATACCAGTAGGCCAGCTTTAATAGTAATTTGGTATGGCTTCGCGGGCCAAATGTAATTAGGCTGCGGGCCAAATTTGGCCCACGGGCCAGAGTTTGACACCTATGGGTTAGACTCTCTAGTATTTTCCACCACTGAATGTCAACTGGAGTGCCACCACTGAACATTAGTTCAACATGTAAACACCACATTTCAAAATCCACTTCTCCTGGGGGTTTTGACACATGGCCTGAGAATGAGCGTAACCATTTGGATTGGCTATGTGTTGCGACAGAGTCATTTCTGATTACATGTTCCACTACTATACGCTGTACCTCTGGTGGGTTAGTTACTTCGTCTGTCACCACTGGAAGTCTGGTTGGAGTAGTCTTTGGTTTTACAACCCTACAAGGCTGAGATTTAGCTGAATGGGTGACTGGCTGGGATGTAAGGGGTCATCTGTGGTCGTAATTTAGCTTTGCTGTTTTTCAAGGGTGTAGTACTGTGGTCAGAATAACTGTCAACGTCATTTCCATCGCTCGAGTCAGTCAAAACAGGGTCTGGCTCTGGAGTATGATGCAGTGCTGGCCTTTCAATGCAACTAGTCTGCCATTTTACATTCTTGTTAGTCACATTTTCAATCTCAAGGAGAAATTCGGAGTCCTTATCTATGTAACACACAATACTTTACCACTATAGAATGTAGAGAAAGTTAGGATCTTGAGCTTATGTTCTCTAGGAATCGACTAAGGAGCGAATAACACACAGCTAAAGAACATTTAACATTTATTTAAACAAAATCATAAACGGTCATTCAACAGTTCACAACAGTTCCAATAGTCCATATTTGTCAGTCCGTGTATTCAGTTTCATAGTCCAAAGTTCAGAGTTCAAAGTTCTTTTCAGTCTTTTCAGTTCAAGTATGTGTGTAGTGTGTTAATGTACTACCCAGGTAGTGTATCGTTTTGAGAGCTCATAAGCTTATCTGTCAAGAAGTAACGCAGTTGTCACTTCTAAGTAGGCTGGAAACCTTCCTCATTTTCGCAGAACAGTTTTTTTTTTTTACCTTTGCGGCCTTATAAGCCTACACTGGTGTTTTTAAAAGTCATGGTTGACTTTATACTTTTCTGAATAGTTTCTGGGATGCTTAGAACTCAAATTGCACTGCTGAAAATAGTTTATTTTGATGCGGTTTTTTTGCAAATTTGCATTATAATATTTATTTTTGTTTTTCCTGCAGTATATAAAAATTGGTATATTTCAAAAATAAAAATATGAAGACA